CTGCCTGCAGGAGAGCCAGCACTGAGTAGAGGAATGCACAAATTTGAACTGGGAGAGATGGTTGTTTGATTAAGTGGGTCCTAGGTCCTGAAGGGCTTTAAAGGTAAGTACTATCACTTTGAACTGAACTCAGAAACAGGGCGAAAACCAGCACTATGGTTTTAAAATAGGCATTTTATTAGCATGGGAGTTTGCAGCACTGGATAACAGCTGAGCTGTGACATTGTAACCATTAAATTTCCAAGCTGTCTTCCAAGGCAGCTTCATGTAAGAGTGTATTACAAGACTCAAGCCTAAAGGTTATTGTGGCATGGGTCAGAAAAGCCAGAGTGGTGGAGTACAAGAAGAGAACAAGTCTCTATGTTATGTAGAAAGGAGGAGGAGGAGGAGGAGGAAGAGGAAGAGATTGGATTTATACCCCACCCTTCACTCAGAGTCTCAGAGCGGCATACAAACTCCTTTCCCTTCCTCTCCCCACAACAGACACGCTGTGAGGTAGGTGGGGCTGAGAGAGCTCTGACAGAAACTGCTCTTTTCAAGAACACCTCTGACAGAGCTATGGCTTGACCAAGGTCATACAGCAGCTGCGAGTGGAGGAGCAGCTAATCAAACCCGGTTCTCCCAAACTGGCTCTTAGCTGCCATACTCACCATCTTTTCAAGTAAAAGAGCTGGCTCCAATAAAATGCCCAAACTCCTAGTGAAGTCTAATAAAGATTTACCTCATTAAGGTTAGGCCACACCATCTCATTGATAACATCCCCTACCAAGATCACCTCCATCTTATCTGGATTAAATCTGTTCTCCATCTACTTGTTCAGAGCAGACAGGCACTAGTGTAGGACACAGACAGCTGTTTTTGGAGGCTTATTTTTTAAAAAATATATAGCTGGGTGACATCAACATATTATTGACACCCCATTCCAAGATGGAGGCCCAGGTAGCAGCCACTGCCAAGTTGGCCTTTTACCACCTTTGGCTGGCACGGCAGTTGGTCCCCTTCCTTGACCGTGATGACCTGGCCACAGTGATCCATGCAACGGTCACCTCGAGACTAGACTACTGTAATGCTCTCTACATGGGGCTGCCTCTGTCGCAAATTCGGAAGCTGCAACTAGTGCAGAATGCTGCAGCTAGGCTGTTGATGGGTCTTCCTAGACAAGATCACATCCGGCCGGTGCTGAAAGCGCTGCACTGGTTGCCAATGGCGTACCGGATTCTCTTCAAAGTGCTGGTTCTTACCTTTAAAGCCCTATATGGCCAGGGACCGGCCTACCTAAGGGACCGCCTTTCCCCGCATATTCCCCCAAGGGCATCTCCTGGATATTCCAGGCCCCAAGACCATCAAACTTGCTATGACCAGGGCTAGGGCGTTCTCGGTGGCAGCTCCTATCTGGTGGAATGAGCTCCCAGAGTAGATTCGAGCCCTGCGGGACCTTGTGCAGTTCCGCAGGGCCTGTAAGACGGAGCTCTTCCCCCAGGCTTTTGAGTAGGAGCCGCCGCCACCACCATTCCATCAACGCCTTCCCACCACCGCACACCATCACCGTTGGTGCGAATATCATTGGAGGGAGCAGGACGTCCCTAGGGGACGACAGGCTTGTGGGGACGTACACTGCTGTTGTTGTTCAGATATATAACATCTTAGAACACCATCTTGGTTTATGATTTGGAGTAAGTATTAGAGCACCGAAAATCTATTTTTAAGAATTTTAATTAATTATAGTATGTTATTATTGTATTTATACTGTTTTTATTGTTGTAATCTGGCATTTATGCCTCTGTTAGCCGCCCTGAGCCTTCGGGGAGGGCAGGATACAAATCCAAATAAATAAATAAATAAATAAATACATTGGACAATTTATTTAACATATTTAACCACTTTTCTCTTCAATCAAAGCAGCTTGCATAATTATGGTTATGAAGTTTAAAACCCTTCATGATCTTCATGAGATCCACATATCTGAAGGACCACCTCTTTCCATATGTCCCTGTAAACCAACTACAGCCTTCAGGCAACCATCTGTTGGCTATCCCAACAGCTGGCATCAACTAGAGTCCGGGCCTTTTCCATCATGGCTCCTGCTCTGTGGAATGGGCTCCCTGAAGAGGTGAAGGGGGGCCTGTCCCTGGAGATCTTCAGGAGGCGCTACAAGCCTTGCTTGTTTTCCAGTGCTTTTGAGGGGGTTTGAATGGCAGGTATCTTTTAAGGGGGAAGGAGAGACTTAGGGTTTGTTATTTTATTCTGGTTTTAACTGGAAATGATTTTAACTATTATAAGCCACCTTGAACAACAAGGAAAGGCAGGGTGTAAATGTTTTAATTAAATAAATACAACCAGATAAAACCTCAATCCACAGAAATAAATAAAAATAAAGCAAGACATTACCCATCATACTAAACAACTTCCACTCATGAGCGACCACAAGCATGTTGGAAAAGCTCTGTTTTATGGAGCCTCCATAACCTTTGCAAAGTTGGAAGCTTTCTCACATCCTCGGGAAGATGGTTCCATAGGACATGAGCAGCCACAAAGAAAGCCTGAGCAGAAACAGTTCTCTCTGTCCTGATTGCTAGCAATCCCTAGTCTGATGACTGCAGCTACCTTCAGGTGGAGCCAGTCCAACAGTTATGACAATGAAACAATGTTCTTGCATAGATACTGAAAGCATCGGATACAGGAGTGAGTCCTGTAGAACCCCACAGGTTATGCCCCATGTTACTGACTCAGAATCTGCCACAACCTTCTGAACACCATCCAACAGTAAGAGTTCAAAGCACTCAAGCACCCCTGCCCTAATGCCTTCTTCAAGTGCTTCAGTAGAATTAAATTGTCCACAGTGCCCACCGCAGCTGAGAGGTCAAGACAGACTAAGAGATAGGAAATTCCTCAGTCAGTATGCAAACAGAGATCATCCATCAGAGCAATCAAAGCCATCTTTACTTCCTAACTCAGCTTGAAACCGGAATGAAAAGGGTCAAGGGAAGAAATCACCCAATATTGCTATGCCAATATTGCCTAAGTATATCTTGAAACTAGAAATACTTTATTATTGCACAGCTCCTTGAAATAGCCCAAGGATATAAAAGTCCTTGGGGAAACTAAGAAGATGGCAACATCTAGTGTGAATGCATATTGCCAATACACTGCATGAACAAGCCTACTAAACTGTAAGCTTTGAAAGCAGGAGAAGGAAGGAAGGGAGCATGCACCAAACTGGAGCAGAGACCAGAGTCTCACCTCACACCTGTAATCTGAGCTGAGAACACTATTTTCACCTTTGATCCGGAAGAGGAAGGGCTTCAGGAGCACAGAAATTGCCATGCAGACTCCTGCCAGAATATTATTAATATGACACATTCCCAATACTGTTTGATGCCTTCTGACAGAGCTACAACACCTCTAACATTTAAATGCTTTGGTAATATTTCAGAAGTAATATATCAGAAGGGTTTTTTTTTTCTTAAATGCACTAGGTTGTTTAATTGCTGGAAGACACAGCAATACAGCACTGACCCTTAACAACAATTTGTGCACGTCCAGTCTCTGAATCTTCAGGAACTCAGGTAAAGTACATCTTCCTTTATGCCAGCAGGCTGAAAAAAGGTTAGGCAATGAAAGAAGTGACCTGAAAGAGTCAGAGAGGGTGCATTACAGCAGCCCTTGTTCTTTAGGCAATACGATATGTAGTCATCTGTCTAATAAAAGACAGAAGAGCTCAACTTACAAGGAAATTGCCATTTATTCAGGAAGTTTCAAAGGCTCAGCTGAGATTCTGGTGACATGATGGCTAGCATGCTTGAAGTGTCAGATTCTTAGTCTTTTGAACTCAGAGATAATTGTTAAAACAAAGCTGTTAGCTTGGGTGTACCTCCCTTGTGCTTTCTCTCTCTCCCCATGCTGCTGAAATTTAGATTGTAAACTTTCTATCTTTTTCATTTATGAAATACTATAAAATATTAAGGAAGTATAAAAGAACGTTTTGTAATTCCTAGGCTGATATCAGTACTCTCACACATGCAGAACAGTACTATTTAGCCTACATTACACAGCATCTGAACCTGCTAGGAGACCATCTTTCATGTTTTAAGGATAAAATTAGAGGGGGGGGGGAGTGTGATCTTAATATCAGAAGAAAAGTGCAGGAGAGAAGAGCCGAACTGTCCTTTGCATCATCTTCTCACACTTAGTTGTTTGCATTGCTTTTTTCTCCCAGACCACCTCCTATACCAGAAGAGAGGTAAGTGCTTGAGATAATGGAAAGTGGGGAGGTAAGGAAGGGAAAGGGGAGGTCCTGGTAACTTCACATATGCAGCCTTTAAAATTAGACTACCACCTGGCTTTATGAATGATGAACACAGGCGACTGAACTAACATGGTTGTTGCCATTATATCTTCAAGTCTCTTTCTTTTTGTTTTCCATAGGATCATCTGTTGATATGGGTGAGGAACTTCACAGAAATTAATGCCCAGAAATGCTTTGGCTACTACTGTACAAGCTGTCATGTAGCACTTGTTAACAAAAGAATGCATAGATCTGCACCTTCATGCTTTCAAGAGGTTTACTTAATAAAATAAAAATTTACTGCTAAAATTAAAATCAGCTCTAACAATGAATTGTTCCAAATAGTGGATTCAAATGTGGATACTGATTCACAACAAAGCTTTTATAGAACCCCTTTCAAATATAAAATCAAAATAGTGCCACATCATTCATCTACTTCCCTTAATGATATCAGCAAGTGAAAACAGACATTTTCCATATTACAATTTGTTAGTGAAGATCAAAGAGCAATATTCAATAACTCCCACCTAAAATTGTAAGATTTCTTTTTTAAAAAGCAAAAGAACAGTGACTTTTTGTTGTTGTTCAGTCGCACAGTCGAGTCCGACTCCTCGCGACCCCATGGACTACATCACGCCAGGCCCTGGGACTATATGTATGCAGTGTAATGCTTTGAGTTAGAGCTGGCTATTGTAGCATATTGCTTTGTACTTACCTCTGCTGCTTCTGTAGCTTTTTTATCTCCAGATGCTCCACCTCCATGTTTATCACCATGCTGAAAGAAAAAGGCCAAACTATTAAAACAAACATATGACGTACCCAAGATATCAGCTCTGAACTACAAAAGTACACAACTAGTTTTGTACGCCCATTGAAACTATGGACTTTGAGGAAATCCATGTGCACTCCAGGCCAAACAGTGCCCTCAGGGACTGTTTCAGGTTGAGAAAGTCACCCTCTGCATATGTAAGCATAAAATTCTGAGGATAAAATGGAGGGTGGGATAAGCCTGCATACAGTCATGAGCTCATTTAGTAAACGGAGGATAAAAACATGATAGCTAGACTGAATAATTACTTTTTCTTACAAATAATTATGCTTATAAATAATTCATTTTATTAATATTACTGGGCACCATTGGGGTAAGAGCCAGATCTGCCTCTGGTCACCACACTTCTTTGCAGGGGGAAGCCTGTGTTTCTCTTTACCCAGTAAAGTCGCCTTTTGCGACCCATTTATTTCCCCACAAATAAAGTTCAGTGGGAACCACTGATAACCAAGCCTGTTGTCTCTCCACAAACCCTTGTCTACATAGTCTTTCTCTAAATTCTGCTAGTCTTCCTACAGTTTGACAAATATGACACGTTCTCAGCATTCTGTTCTACACAGATACTCTCACAAATATTTTATGCAAAAACTGAGATACTCTCTTTTATCTAGCACTGCGTTGTGCTAAGATTTAGGCAGGGTCTTTATAGTAGGACTGCTAACCTCCAGGTAAAGTCTGGAGATTTCCTGCAATCACAACTGAACTCCAGGCTACAGAGATCAATACAGAGAAAATGGGTGCTTTGGATGGCGGATTCTGTGGCATTATACCCAGCTGAGGTCCCTCACCTTCCCAAACCCCACCCTCCACTCCAGTATCTCCAGAAATAGCCCAACTCAATAATCTTAGCCTTTAGATATCACATGGATTTTCTAGCAATATATACATTGTGTGCATTTAGAAGCCTCATATTGTCTCCTACAAAAGCCATTTTTATCATCATTAATCATGAGAACAACTACAATTCCTCTAGTCAACCACAATAACTCTGACTACATTTACACTGTAAAACATACATGGCCTAAAGTAGCTAACACCTTGCAGTTCCAGAGAAAAACTGTCTCACAGAAGTTACACATTAACTACCTTTACTGTGCTATAGTGTTGAGGAGATAGTAAGTTTCCATACATTTCCGTTAACTACCTTTACTGTGCTATAGTGAGGAGATAGTAAGTTTCCATACATTTCTAATACAGACCTTTATATTCAATATATGTAATGTAGAAAGGGCCCTGAAGTCTCTATCATTTAGCACCACAAGACACATTCCAAAATCTCACATTATCTTTTTATGAAGCCAAGGTGGCACACTGGGTTGCTGTGGTGGAAGTGGTATTTAGATTAGTAACAGCTGACACAGAAAATTAACATTTTAACATTTAGCACATTAGCTCAAATTTTGGGTCCATAAAGGGCAGACAGCAGAATATGGCAAGCCCACCAAGCTGGCAGACTTCCTTCATCTCAATATAGAAACACACACAGGAAACAGAAATAGACAAACAGCATGGCAGTGACATGACAGTGCTGAAAAAGAATGGGGTTGCCCATATGCCAACATTATTCGCAAGATGTGCTTAACCAGCTACACTGGTGCCAAACACCGTACTCTAAAGAAGGAATGATTTGAGTCTTTGTGAGAGAAGTGAGGTATAAATGAGTGAATAAATACAATGATAGTATATGTATTCTCTTGAATTGTGTTTCGTGTGATTGTAGACACTACGCTGCCCATTGCCATCAAGGCTCTATTTTGTTAGTCACTCTGTATGTGTGCGTGTGCATGCACGCGTGCATCTTTTCCGTCCCCTCCTCATCATGCTGCCAAGACCAGCTCTTCTTTGCTAGTCCCTGAGGCCAAGAAAATGAGTCTACAGCCCTTTATGCATGCACGGCTTACTACAGACAATCCGAGCAGTCAAGCTTTTAAGCGTGACTTCAGATTCCATGCCTGCACTATGCACCATTCTTTTTCACTGGTGTATTTATTCTGCATCCCATAATAAATACACTGGACTCTGCATTGCCTTCTCGTGCCACCTGGTTTGAACTCCCCCCCCCCAAAGGCCTAAAAAAAAACCCCAACAACAACCAACCCCCCCCTCCCCCAAGGACAAAGATTTTTTTCCCCTCTGATTTTTTTCCGAGTTTTCCCCCAGGCCTTCAAATCTCTGCCTTCAACTCAAATCTAACTGAAATATACAATTAAGAATCCAGATACAATTTGTGTAAAATGCAGTGTGTGAATCAGCTCAGACTTCACCAGCATTTTCAATTAGAGGCTTATCCCGTCACATTGTTCTAGAACAAGCCAGTTGGAAATTCTTTCAAAATCACAGCTGGACGATGCAACTAAGATTATCTCCAACAACCTCTTCCCAGCCTTTAGACTTCCTCTTCTTCCCTTAATTGGAAATGCTCCCAAGATTTGGGAACTCCCTCCTTCTTATCAGAAAGTATACCCTGTTAAGCTCACCTACATCCCCTTAACTTTCTCTAAGCCTGTTGTTTTCATTCAAGCACCAAGCTGAATAGGCAAGGCTAGAATTTAACATGTGTTTCTCCAGGCATCTCATGCTGCCACTCTGAGCAAACAAGCATGTGTGAGCTAGTGCATCTAACAATTCTATACTTCTGTGCTCCAAATGCATGGTTCTAATTAGTCAAAACAGCATCATAAGTTACAGACATGGGGGTCCCACTGATATCACTAAGATTTCACAATATAAAAAATAGCAGCATACAATAGTAAGAATGTGCTGCATCCAGTGACAGAATTTTCTGGCTTTTTATTTTTAAAACATTTCTTTCCTCCATGCAGGTAAGGTTTCTTTAGGTGGCTAAAGAATGTAAAAGCAGCCACTTAAATCCAAAGTCCAAAAGACCTCTGGATATTGATTTCAGTATTGTATTTGAAGTTACATCTCATCAGATAATTTATTAAAATATTCATGAAAAATGTATCTAAAACAAATATGTCAACAAATAGCTATTGACAATAGTATTTTCTGATTGAACCATACTTAACAATTTGATACTTTTTCAAACTTGCAGAAGGAGCCATGTCACATTGACAAAGGTCTCGTAATTATATTGCTAGTAAAGTGATAGAAAATAGAACACATCTGAAGATGCCTACCACTAAGGGAACAGATGCATACAGCCTTCAAAAGAACACACATTTCCGTTTTCATCAGCAGTTGCAATATTATGCTCAATAAAGCATAATAAAATGCCATAAAAGTATGTTCTTTTAGAGGCCATGCCTGTCAGCGCCAACTCCTTCAGGACATGCCTTGTAAACTAGGAAATACAAGCTTTAATTTTTTAAAAAGCACTCACATTGAACAAATAAAGACAGATGCACACCAGCATCAGAGGCAGCTACTCTACTTTATACTAACCCAAAGTTACCATTTCAAGAAAAGCTGGAATCCTCTGTATCAGGAACACATTCAGAGGTCTTCTACAGGAATGCTCTACTTGACTTCTGTTAGATTTGGATCAGACCCTTAAGTCAGCACCAGTACTTGAATGCTCCAAAACAAGGGGGGGAGGGAGTCCTATGCGACACTGAATGTATTTTCCCACCACAAAACAAAGTCAGTTTCAGAACTCCTATTCAGAGACAGATAAACTTAGACAGCCTTCCCGTTCCACAAAGCCTATGGTTTTCATACATTTTTCTTATTCTCAATTAATTATGATGCCACTAATAGCATTAAAACAATTTTTTGGTGTCAGAATATGAAATACAAGTTCTATATAACTTGACAGCATCCATACAAGTACATCTTGCCGATTTGTATTTCTGTAGGTGGATAAACATTTAAAGTAGACACTCAAATTGTCACTTCCTTGAACAATCTTCCATGGCATTGAGAAATAACGAATTAATTCAGATGCCTGCCTAAACAGCTTATAGCTAACAGGAGTTTTCAAGTTCAGTTTCTTTTATGAGCCAAGACACTCTGGGTGGTGTTTATCATCTTCCCCACAAGCACAATTTGATAATACAACTCACAGCTGCTTCTTAAAATAATTCATGTTTCCATCTGAATTCCCAATGCTAATTAAGAACATTAAGCACCTTTCATCTGCATTTGTTAAATGAATCTTTCTTATAAGAGACAATGACTAAAACAGAAAAAAAAATTAATGGAATAAAAAGGTATGCATATCCTAACCAATCAGGTAAGAAGGACATCCTCAAGAAATTAATGGTCACGTATTTACAAATCAACCAACTTTTAAAGAATATATTAGACAAACAGGTCAGTTCCTAAGAATAAACGGACACACATATGATCACAGTACTCAGAAATCAGTGGCAGAACATTCTGATCTTTTCTGTTGTTGATCTAAATGCCACCAGTCTCCTGCAAAATAATTTCAAAGGGAAACTCCAAGGTGAGATGGCCAAATTGGAATTCATTAAGGCATTTAACACTACCTCTCACCCTGGCTTAAACTGATTTGGGATTTATGAGCCATAACAAGTATCAAGTATCTTAACAAAAGAGGTGTTAATTAGTTTAGCGCAAATAGTGAACAGGCTCTATACTTTTCTTGAGTAAATAATTATCATTTATATTTCAAGGTCTCCCCCCACATTCACCTACAAAAGAAAAGTGTCAGCATAGTAGGGATTCACCCATTGCATATGAAGATGTGGGCTACAATACAGTTTATACTGGAATAAACGTTTGTTAGCCTTTAAGGTAGCATGAGACTCCTGCTTATTTTAGCTACAACAGACAGACTAACCTGGTTATGTCTCTGGAATTAAAACGTTAAGTTACCCAATGCATTTGTCTCTCTGTGTGGAAAAGGCTGATACATTTTAAGAATTAACCCATCATGTTTCCAACTGGAAAATGGAAGCCCCAATCCAGAAAAAATTAAATTAAAAATAAAACGAATACATAATTTTCTTACTAAATCA